AACCAAAAGGAATCCGTTTGGTAATAATATGAAATTGAGGACAGTTTACACAAACAAATCATATCGCAAAGCAACATCATCGTTGCGTTTATTTTAACGACATTTATAACTTCCTGGCGTCGCCGTGCAGTTAATCGTGTTTAAGAACGTTTAGAAAACAAGATGCATACATACCTCGGTAATGAGATTAACATCTAACTTCCTTCGAGCTTTATAATTTTGAAGTAAAAACAAACAGCCGCCTAACATAATGGAATATTACACTTAGAGCCTTTCGCTCGTCTCGCAACCCTAAAATTACCCTATCGTAAAATTTCTTAACGCCTATCGCGTACGTACTCATCATGAACGTTCTTTCCTTTAACGGGTTATATCTTGCGCCATCAAATTAGGGGATTCTTCCGACCGAAGTCTATAATTTAAGAGCGTCAATGCATATTTTCCGTTACACTTCAAAGAAACAATCACTTAAGTCATTACACGCATTAGCTTCCACGTTTTGCACACAACACCGTAATTCTGTGTAGTTTTAATATAACCCGGGGGTAATCGGAATGCTTATGTCATAAAAAAACATTAACGAGTATGATGAAAAAAACAAATTGAAAAGAATCTTATCCTATATTTGCTTTAATCAAAGTTAATATTTGAGGTTACATCATCTCCAAACTTTTTTAATATGGTGTAACTAATTCCATATACAGTGTCTGCCAAAAAGTTAACAATGTTCTTTTAGTTCCATTAAAACTAGATTCTTGAAATATTACTTATATGGGATCTAATAAAGAATCTAATGTTAGCTGATAAAAAATTACTTATTCTAGAATATTATTAGACTAGATATCAACTTTTTTAATTATATCCAAACTCTATTTACCATTTTTTGGAAATATCTCCAAATAAATCGTGTTATAAAAAAGTGGATTTTATAACAGTTGGCCCGGATATATTGAATCATTGTTTTAAAAATAGGAGTTGTGACCAACAATTTTAACGAGACATCGTAAAGTGGGCTTTCTTGCATCGGCAATAATTGCGTGGTCTAACAAATCTGGCCCAGGCGTAAATTTCTTTGCACTCGATTCCCAAACGTTTCGCAGTAAAGCACCAACTTATTTTCGGACATTCAATATGTGTCGAGTCCCGTACAAGCGATACATTACCGATTTGTTGTGGCTATAAATACATAACGATTGTTTCGTAATGTATGTACAATCTAAAATATCAACATCAAAAAAATTTATACCATGTTTTAAAAATGTATATAAAAAGAGTTGCATGTATCATAAAGTTTCACAAAGGTGGGCGTCATGTAAAAACTGTGTACAAGATCATAAAAAAGTGAGAGACGATCCAATTAAGAAAAATATCCGAACTTTCTAAAGCGTGCGCTGTCACTTGATGGTACCTACCCAACGGTGGTTGGGTTGTTATGGTTGACAGTTACTTTTGGGTGGATTGATTGAGTTATTGTCCGGCGATGAAATTCGTTCGTGAATGGACCGAAGTAATTGTGGTATTAATTGCGAACGCATCCAACAGCATGTTTCGAAGGCGTGCTTTCACTTCGGGTCGGAATGAAATTTTTTGGGGTCCATCTGCCCATCATTTGCAAGAACGGTTTATGGTAAAGGTTGCGAACCTTATTCGGTAATTGGGTCAGTTTTGCATCGGACAATTTACTTGAAAGGTCTGCTGGAAATGGAGCGCGTCATGGAACGCCCCAATTTCGTATGCACCGATATAAACAAACGGTCAGTTACGAAACTATCGCATAAATTCGAAATTGACCGTTGAAATTGATTAATACATTTAGATCAAGGTATTAAATCTTGAACTATTTTTGTACTGAGAATTATAAGAAATATTTCGTCATTATTTGATAATCATCTACAGTAGTCAATCAAAAGAGGAACCGTGTAACTATTTCACCTGCCATATCCATATTTGTATTTCAAGATGATTAACCATGTCCATATTTAAACTTTACAACGAATTTACATAGAATCGAATGATGCCTTCGTAACGTTGTTCATTGTAGCTTTGTCGGCAGCAAAAGCCTCAAAGGACCAGTAATTTGGTGTAAACGCAACGCTATAAATGGTCAGGAAGAAGAACTATGTTCACTCTTCCATTTGTATTATGTCACACGACTTAATTGAGATTTACTGAAGCACTCGGCGAGAGGAACATTCGGTTAAATTTCACTGTATCCCAAATTCGTGCCTCCATTACATTTTTTCTTCTTTCATTTTGGTTTTATGTAGTACCGTTAATAAAGCCGCTCTCGTGTACCGGGCCCATTTTAATTTAATTTTGTAAGGCCATTTTTTACGCCCAGTAGAGTTCATGCTTCTTCCAGGAAAGGCTAATTGAAAAAAATTATTGTGTTCATGTTAACTTAAAATATTCTTTTTGGGCAAAATGAGTTTTATTTCATTTTAGATACTCAATGAATCGTTGAAATAGCTTCGCTTTTTACATCCCAAAATGATTAACAAATATGAAAAAAAAATAATAAATATTTCTTTTAAACCGGAAAGATTAAAAAAATCAAACCAGACATAATAATGTAAACGAAAGTATCGAATCGGCGCAGAATTTCGTAAACGAAACCATATGCCCCAACAAGACTCTTGCGTAACATCCCAAGATTTCGTACTTTTCATGATGCAACTGGACCACCAGACCAGAATAAAAATATACAAACGAGTTGGCCTTCCACTGCGGAGACGATAAAAAATGGAACGATCCCATTTACAAGGGAACCGTGTATAATAAATTTATACTCTCCCCCATTGATAGGATAGCAGAGTCCATATTTCGAGTTATGCCGAGAGTATGGTGATGTGATAAGTAGCCGCTTAAGCGCTTAAAATGACTTGACTTCGTATCTGGGACGAGCAAGATCTTGAATCACGGTCTGGAAGCTACGTTTCTTCTTTTTATAGAAAGCTGTTCGAGCAGTTGGTGTATTCATGTAATTTTTTTTGCCAATATCTCTTAAGAAGCATAAATCCATTAAAAGCTTTTTTAAGAAATAAAAATAAACAATGGATTATGTTGACTTAGTGAAAAGCAGAGAGAATTAAGATTATCGAAAAGTTGATTAAATATTGAAAGTGTTTTTAGTAAAATCCATTAAGCTTAAGTTATGATATAAAGATACAGGATATTGGTTTTACAGATGTTTGTCTTGTAAGATTTTTTTGCTTCTTTAAAGTTCATTACCATCTTAAGCTCAAATATTTGCGAAACGACTAAAACTAGAACTAGCCGTAAGACTGCAAAACCCAAATGTTTTTAACATTCTTTTTAACTTTCTTGTTCTAGGTCTAGTGTTAGTTCTAGTTTTACACTAGAGCTGTTACTAGAACTAACACCTCACTAGAACTAACACCCAGAATCATTCGGGTTTAGCCGTCTTGAGAGGACGTACGGCTAAACCCGAATGATTCTGGGTGTTAGTTCTAGTGAGGTGTTAGTTCTAGTTTTACAGTAGAGCTGTTACTAGAACTAATACTATACCTAGAACTAGAATCATTCGGGTTTAGCCGTCTTGAAAGACGTGCGGCTAAACCCGAAACTTACTAGGTCTAGTGTTAGTTCTAGTTTTAATTCAATACAAATTTACAATAACATGGTGTTGATTAACAACAAGAACTAACACTAACACTGTCACTAGAACTAAATTAGACCAAGAACTAGAAACATTCGGGTTTAACCGTCTTAAGCGACACACGGCTAACCCCAAATGTCTCTAGTTCTATATCTAGTGTTAAGTTACATGGATTTAATAGAAAAAAGTAAATAATAAAATTTGTTAATTATTATTTACATCCATTTGTTTTTGACTTAAAAAAAATGACACATTTTGTCAAATCATATAATAATTGGGAATACCCAAACAATACATTTCCCAGTAAGATAGTAATTCGAAGATTACCACCAAATTTTACACTCGATTCTTTTATTAAATATGTATCGCCGTTGCCTAAACATAATTATCTGCGGTTTGTTGAAAGTAATGGAAATGGAGTAAATTCTTTTTCGAGAGTTTATATAAATTTTACGAATTGGAACGAATTACTTTTGTTTAAACAAAAATATGATAATTATATATTTCTGGATGATGGTGGGATAGAACATCCGGCTGTGGTGGAATTTGCTCCATTCCAAGGAATTCCGAAAAATTCGAGAAAGAAAGATAATAAAAGCGGTACCATACAGTTTGATGAATATTATAAAGACTTCTTAAGAAAAAGGAACATAAAAACGTCAAGCACGGAGAAATTTGAATTCGAGATTCAAAAACGTGAAAACACCGCTGCGATAACGCCACTTTTAAAATTTATAAACGAAAAAAAGGGGGAAAAGAAACAACATTGCGATGATAAAAATTACATTCGAACTAAAACCGTAGATAATTGTATGGTGTTTGTAAATAGCAGGGTGAGACGAAACCAAAAATTTAAGTACAGAAGACCGAAGTATCTCGGCTCTTTGTATACAAACTCCTAAATTGGAACCAGATGTTCTTTTTTATAAAGTTTTCGGATGTTATTTTTTTAGCAACGTATAAATTTCAAAGGAAACTACCGAAAATCCAGATGCACAAATAAACTTTTAGATACATAAAATTTCCGATATCATTAGTGGGAAATATTCGTGACGATCTTAACAGAAACGTCACGTTTAGCCCCACAAAATCCCGTTGTTGCCCTTAGGGTATAATAGCGATGTAATGGATGATCTACACGCAACCGACGAGAAGATATATCCCCTATTGAATTCGTGATATGTGGGTGTCATTATTCGTATTATGCAACTACAAATAACAAGTAAAGTAGTACGAAACTATAAAGATCAATGAAATTTTATATTATATTTTATTAATTTTTAATAAAAATGTTTTGTATCACATGTTTAGCGTCTCTCAAGACATTTGAAACAGCTACCCAATAAAAAACTAAAAGGTTAATTTTAATTCTTCCTTTCAGTCTTGCAAAGGATGTGCTTACGCACACAAATGCAATTGTACTGGCATTCAAGGCAAAAAAGGTGATGATGGTATACCAGGAAATATCGGTATTCCTGGTGAATATGGTGATATAGGAGAAGACGGTCCTCCAGGTCCAAAGGGAGAAAAAGGAGCCGAAGGAGAACGGGGTAACGTCGGTGACAAAGGATTTAGAGTCAGTATTTAATTACAAATTAATTCTCTTTTAACGTGATTACACTTTCAAGGGCGGTGATGGCGAGAAAGGAATGCCCGGTATGCCAGGTTTATCTGTAAGTATTTTATATTCTTATTTAACTCAATTTGTTTACATAAATTTTTTTAGGGTGTCACTGGTGCAAGAGGTTACAGAGGCCCAGTGGGTTTGGATGGTTGCAACGGTACAGATGGTAATCCGGGTGTTAAAGGTATACCTGGTGATCACGGTGCTAGAGGTGATGCTGGAGGTGAAGGTGCCACGGGTGCGAGAGGTGATCCAGGAGAAGGTGGTGGTAATTCGATCGGTATCAAAGGTGTCGCAGGTATAAGTGGAATTGATGGAATTTCTGGAAACCCAGGACCACCAGGACAAGCGGGATCTTTTGGCCCTCAAGGACCACCCGGACAACAAGTACACAAAAAGAAATTCTGTTAAAACATGATTCTAATTAAATTCGTTTTAGGGTGAACCCGGTTATGATGGACATCGAGGTCCAACTGGAGACCCAGGATTACCAAGTACTGGTCACAGAGGTGCTAAAGGACAACCTGGAGATGTAGGCGAAACTGGACCACCTGGACGAGTGCCCTGGAACTTTACCGAAAATCAAACGAACATCGAAAGCGAAAGAGGAGAGACGGGCGAACCTGGAAGTCTTGGATTCGAAGGTGAAATAGGAAGAAAAGGTGAAATGGGAGATCGTGGACCGATAGGGTTGAGGGGATTCGAAGGTGATAGGGGTTATAAAGGTGACCCTGGAGCGGACGGATCGCGAGGTAAACAAGGAAGACTTGGACCTGAAGGTCCTCCTGGTGAAAAAGGAGATAAAGGAGCCCCAGGTTATGCTGGGGAATATGGTGAAGATGGTTTTACTGGTCTTCCTGGTGAAGCAGGACGAAAAGGATCACCTGGCGCTCAAGGTCCGCCCGGCATAAAGGGAGTATGGGATCCTACACAGAATTTAGGAACTAAAGGTAGTAGAGGACGACAAGGACCTGATGGTTTTAGGGGTCTTAAAGGTTAGTAGATCAACTTAATAAATTAACGTAATATTAATAATTTTATTTTTCTATTTTTTAGGTTCAGCTGGTTTACCTGGTAAAAGAGGAATGCCTGGTCCTGTTGGATCCCCAGGTCAACCAGGTCTTCCCGGGCTTCCTGGATTACAAGGTAAAAAAGGTCTCCAAATAAAAGGAGAACGTGGTGATGACGGTTTCCCTGGTCATGATGGAAGACGAGGTGAACACGGTCTGCCGGGATTATGGGGCAACAAGGGAAAACCTGGTGAACCCGGCTACGATGTAACTGGCCCTAGAGGAGATAGTGGTATCCCTGGATTAAATGGATTTGCTGGTCCACCTGGAGACATGGGAGATGAGGGTGAGAGAGGGCCAAAAGGTTATCCTGGTACCGGAGTTCCAAAAGTGGGACCAATGGGAGATCAAGGACGTCCAGGATATCCCGGGGACGCAGGTGATCCAGGACGACCAGGTTATGATGGATTAAAAGGTTTAAAAGGACGACGCGGTGATGATTGTGGATACTGTATGCCGGGATTAGATGGCTTAAAAGGAGAAAGGGGTGATGATGGATGGGATGGCGAAATGGGGGGAATAGGTTTCCCTGGACTTACTGGAGCTAGAGGAGCAAAAGGAAACAAAGGGCGACCCGGTGTTGCGGGACCTAAAGGACAACCAGGCACGCCTGGCGGTCCTGGTATACAAGGAGCTCAAGGGCCTAAGGGTGTAACCGGAAAAATAATTATTCCTCAGAGTCAGGTGGAGGTCGGAGATAAAGGTTACAAAGGATTTGCAGGAAGAGTTGGCCCGGAAGGTGATCGTGGATTCCCTGGAGCAATAGGTTTCACAGGTTTAAAAGGTTTTAAAGGAGAAGTTGGTGTATACGGTGAAATCGGATATCCTGGTAAAGATGGTATAGATGGACTACCCGGTAGGATTGGTCAAAAAGGAGAACCAACACTAATAGCTAAAGAATATGTTCGTGGAGATAGAGGCTTTCCTGGAGAAGAGTATGTTTTTTAATATTGTATAGTTCCTTATTCTTAGTTACAAATTATTTTTGTAGTGCTCAAAAAGGAGAACGTGGTGATGCTGGACCAAAAGGTGAACCTGGATACATATCAACCTTAATTTCAGCTTTAAGAGGTAGTAAGGGATATAAAGGACCACCTGGAGATGAAGGTTATTATTACATTTTTAAGCAGATTTTTAAATGTTATTTAATAAAATAAATATTATTTTCAGGCTTACCTGGTTTAAGAGGTATTAAAGGTATTAAAGGAGATATGGGATACACTGGTCTTCCAGGTGCACCTGGCAAAACCGGAGAAGTTATTCAAGGTCCCGAAGGTATTAAAGGTTTCCCAGGCTTAACTGGAGATCAAGGGTTACCTGGCCGCCCTGGAGAACCGGGTACTCCAGGACCTAAAGGCGAGTCTGGTAGATTTGGAGAGAAAGGTAACAGAGGAGATCATGGACTCAACATACTTAACGGGAAGATTGGAATCATGGGACCTGAAGGTGCCAAAGGCTTACCAGGTGATTTTGGATTGGATGGCTTTAAAGGACGATCCGGAATAGATGGTGTCAAAGGTTACAAAGGTGCTAAAGGTGCACCAGGTCAAATTGGACTACCCGGGCAACGTGGTAGGAAAGGTCACAGGGGAATAATGATTCCCGGATCGCAAGGGCCACAAGGCAGGCCAGGATATAGGGGTTATCCCGGAATGTATGGAGAACTTGGTGAACGTGGTGACGAAGGTGCCGTTGGTCCCGATGGTGTAAACGGTCTTAAGGGAGAACCAGGACCTTTCGGCGATAGAGGTCCAAGTGGAGATATAGGATTACCTGGATTTAATGGAAGACCTGGACCAGCTGGTATTGATGGTTGGGACGGCCCCTTAGGTGAAAAAGGAGACATGGGATATCCAGGTTACCCGGGAGAACCAGGCCCTGCGGGACTTACCGGATTGAATGGACCAAAAGGAATTATGGGAGACATAGGATTTCCAGGCAACGATGGGTTACCTGGTTTACCGGGTATTCCTGGCCTACGTGGAGATGAAGGCTGGCCTGGAAGACGGGGACCAAAAGGAGAACCTTCATTTAGTGGACCCAAAGGAGAACAAGGTGATCATGGACCCACTGGTGGACCTGGAGCTGATGGTTATGAAGGATGGGATGGTGCTAAAGGAGAACCGGGAATTCCCGGTGATAGTATCTTTGGTGAACGTGGTTTAGCCGGTGAAGAAGGAAACGATGGAACAATGGGGAAACTGGGTTTTCCTGGAATGGTAGGAGATCGTGGTGATATTGGTTTTCCCGGACCAATTGGACAACGTGGTGAACCAGGTTTTGATGGAGCTGTAGGAATCTTAGGAAAAAATGGCATTCCTGGTCAAAAAGGAGAGCAAGGAGATTATGGATTTGCAGGAATAAAGGGTATTAAAGGTGAAAGAGGAATGGATGGTGATCCGGGATCTATGGGACTTCCCGGATTAATAGGTGACAAAGGTTACTCTGGTTTTCCTGGCCGACCTGGTGAGAAGGGTGCAAAAGGCAACGTTGGATATCCAGGATTTTCCAGCCACGGAACCGGGGAAAGAGGTGATTTCGGCGAACATGGAATGTTCGGATTGGGAGGGGTAAAAGGTGACGTGGGCGATGAAGGCTATCCAGGTTTATCAGGACTTAAAGGAATTAGAGGAGATAAAGGTTTTGAGGGATTACCGGGACCGGCAGGACTCCAGGGAGCGAAAGGAATGATAGGAGATATTGGTTTTACTGGTGCACCAGGTTTCCCAGGACAACATCCAGAACGAGGTGATATGGGAAAGGAAGGTTTACCGGGAAGAGAGGGCTTTCCGGGAGTAAATGGGCAGAAAGGAGCTCCTGGTGAATACGGCGAAGAAGGTTTAAAAGGCGAACGGGGTCCAACTGGCGAAATTCGAATTGGAATGAGAGGTGAACCTGGTGATACTGGACTACCAGGTACTCCTGGATTTCCTGGAAGAGCGGGAGAACTCGGGGCTATTGGAATTCAAGGAGCACCAGGACGGAAAGGTTTAATGGGAGATCCTGGATATGGAGGAAACAGTTCTAAAGGTGCAAAGGGTGATGTCGGTTTCCCTGGTAAGTAAAAATCTATATGGATAAACAGTATTGTTTAAACATTTAATTTTTAATTTAGGTTTAATTGGTGCCGCTGGCGATAAAGGTTTTATTGGTGACATTGGCCTTTCTGGTAGCATTGGAATAATTGGACAGAAAGGTTTTCAAGGCGAACCAGGAGATCAAGGTATTCCAGGTTTTCAAGGAAGAACAGGATATATCGGCGATAAGGGAATGATGGGAGAATACGGAAGAGATGGTAATCCTGGATTACCAGGACTGAGTGGTGACGCTGGATATGCTGGATTACCCGGATTATATGGATCCAAAGGAAAACGTGGTCCTCCCGGCTTCAAAGGCATTCGAGGTGATGGTGGATTACCAGGCCGAAACGGAATAGCAGGTCTTGAAGGTCCACGCGGCATGCGCGGTGACGACGGTTTCCCAGGACAAGAAGGTCGTGTCGGGTTACCTGGAGCAACTGGTTTACCAGGAACTCCAGCACCTTCTCCCCCAGGACCAAAAAGTCGAGGTTTTTATTTTGCTAGACATTCTCAATCAGAAAGAATACCGGTTTGTCCAAGAGATACTGTGAAGTTATGGGACGGATACTCATTATTGTACATACTTGCTAACGGTAAAAGCCACGGACAAGATTTGGGGTCACCCGGAAGTTGTTTGAGGCGATTTAACACTATGCCTTATTTATTCTGTAACTTGCAAAACGTTTGCGATTATGCACAAGCAAACGATTACAGTTATTGGTTATCTACAACTGAGCCAATGCCGGCAATGATGACACCTATACCAGCTGTTGAAATGAATAGATACATATCAAGGTTGGTGAATTTTTAATAATTATTCCAAATTGTTTTTAATATATTTGATTTTTTGTAGATGTTCAGTTTGCGAAGCTCCAACTAAAGTTTTAGCACTCCACAGTCAAAGTTTAAATGTCCCTACTTGTCCTAATGGATGGGATGAAATCTGGCGAGGGTGGAGTTTCTTCATGGTACTCAAATTAACTCGTTAGATGAACTTATGAATTAATTTAATAATTTTTGTAGCATGTAGATGCTGGTGCTGAAGGATCAGGACAATCATTAATGTCGCCTGGTTCGTGTTTAGAAGAGTTTAGGCCAAAACCATTTATAGAATGCCAAGGTCACGGGCGTTGCAACTACTACACGACAGTCGTCTCTTATTGGTTGAGCATTATCGACGATTATGACATGTTCAAAAAACCAAAACCACAAACTATTAAAGAAGGAATGGATTTAACATCGCATATTAGTAGATGTGCGGTGTGCATAAGAAGAGTTCCGCCACCAGTACCAACCCGACATGAAGACGATGGTGTTCCCAGCACGTACAGAAAACCACAACACAGAGCTGGACAACCAAACGTATTCCAACCAAACAGAAATTTGCCGCACCGAAGACGACAAAGACCAAGAATGAGACACAGCGGTAGACCATACAATCGTGATGATCGAGTGCCATAACAAAATCAAGTTTTTTTTGTAATTTCTTTGTAGCTGTGCTAATAATAATGTATGATTAAATAGGGTGATTCATTATTTTCTTGTCAATATTGTATAATAATGTATTTTGTATAAAATAATTAGTTAAGTGCTGACGTAACAACATAAATGATTCCTATATATTAAGTTTAATTTTGATTATTATTAATTACAAATTGCTGGTGCTGCCCAAATTTATATAAAAACTGTTTGAATTAATAGCTTTGTTATTAAACCCACTGCCATACTTAATAAAACATTTTAATTAATAATAAAACGTTTTATTCTTTAAAAATTGATCAATTGCAGTTTAAAAACCACATTTTTTTTCTTTAAGCTTGTCCACCAATATAAAATATCTGACTGTAAGTATAGATTGGAAGAGGTTACTTTTGTTTATTAAAGTTAATGACCCAAGGTAGATGTATTGGGCAAATAATTAATATAAATAATTATAGATCACAGTAGATATCATTTATTCATAAAAAATATAACAACTACAAATCTGTCCAAAAACTAAGGAATGAATTTTTTTTATTACAGTACGTATGAAATGAGATGACGTGATAAGACCAAACGTTAAACTCTTCATTATTCCAAAATTCTCTTGTATTATTACTTTTATTCAATATATCTCATATTTTGTCTTTTTGACTAACCCTCTACAAATATTTCTTTATTTTCACGATTTTACTTCGCAAAACCGCTATTTAAATCCGCCGTAAACTGCATTTGACTGTCGATAATTTGAAACAATTCCGCGGGCTGTGGAATTCTTCCTGTTTCCAATTTCGACCACACCGGAACATCGTTTAACGATATTTCAAAAGCGCCTGATTGAATCAATTGGGACTCAATTATATTTGACAAAAAGAACAACATGAGAACTGAGTACATTTTATTTTGAATGCACCATTCCCACCATGAAGGTTGAACCTGATTGATGTAATTAAAAATGTTTACACCACCAAGAATACAAACGATTACCATTAACTTTAAGACACCCTACAAAAAAATTGCAATGAATAAAGTAAGGTTATTAAAGTTAGGTTATTAAGTTACCAATAATCTTGCTAAAAACATGTTTAATCCAGGTGGATCATAGTTTCTTCCATCGATTATTATATCCGGGTATTTTTGTTGGATTATTGAGGCATATTCATCAAAAGCTTTGCGATATCCACAAGAATAACTTAAAAAAAAACAAAAAATGTCATCAAATTGCGTAATATGCAACACCTTTAATGATCCTTAACTAATTCAATTAGGCGATTGCAAGAGAACATAGGAAATACATTTGCAAAGTCATTCTGATTACATTAACATTTTAAACAAACAATTTTGTTGGTTACTAAGCAAAATACTAATTCAAAACACATTAATAAATAGAAAAATAATAATAATTAAAGCGGAAAAAGACAATTTAAGTTTGATCTTAACAAATATCGATAAACTGTTGATAACCTTACCAATATAACACCTTCAACGTGGCGACATTCTGTGAAAACTTCGGTACCGGCACTTGTTCATTTGATTCGCTATACGCTAACGCTACGCATAATACTAATACTATTGCTAAACGTATAGCCGCTATTTTGTGGTGCATTTTAAAAAAATATAGTGTTGTACTGTCAGTTCTAAATCACACCGAAAAGTGACGTTTATTTGACATGCGCTTTTCCAATAGCATGAAGTTTGATACGAATTAATTTCAATAAATTTATCAATTTAAAGTAATTTAATTAAATCAATTTTAAGATTTAAATATAAATTAAGTTATTATGTTTGATTATTAAGTTAAGAAATGAAATTAAAATTGGGTTAAAAGCGCTTTGGTGATTTTCTAAATTTTACTAGAATAAAGATTGGTAACAATGATTGTTTCCATCAAACCAGAAGCTAATTTCATGTATGTGTAGAAAATGGCCCCTCGAAAACGGTGTAGATCTGTCAAAGCGATTAATAAAGATTATAACAAATTAAGTTTAAATGACGTGTTATGCCCGATATGTAGAAACATTTTGTTGGAACCGGTATCACTTCCGTGTAACCACGGCTTTTGCTTGCCTTGTTTTGAAGGTACAGTAGCGAATTCAAACCTTACCTGTCCACTATGTAGGATAAGATTCGCCTCTTGGCATCGAATAGCCACTAAAGAGAACAAAATTGTCGACGAGAGTCTTTGGCTGGCCATCAAGAAACTCTTTCCCCATTTGATACAAAATCGAATCAATGGAGTTGACAATAACATACCACAAGGTAAGTAGCCCATTTTTCGTTAATTTCAGTACTTAAAAACGTAATTATTTTAGAAAACTTGATTAAATTAGCTGCCCCGGGAGATATTAGAAAGGAATACGAAGAAGAGAAACGAAAAGATTTATTAGAAATAGAGAAACAAAGAATCGCTGAAGTGAAAGCTAGCGAGGAACTTATAAACAAAATTTGTAAAGAGGAAGCTTTTGCAAACAATTTAAAACAAGAAACGTTACGTAAAGACGAAAAAATAGCCAGGCAGCTAAGCGAACAGTTGAATTCAAAACTTTCTCAATTAAATGTATCGAAAAAAATTAAACCAATAGAGAAATTTTTGGTTAAATCACCCACGAAAAAAGACATCATCAATTCAAGTAGTAATAAAAAGCACGTTACTAAAGTTTTATGCCAAGATAAGACTCATCCTAAATACGTAATAAGCACCAAACATAGTCACGAAGATAAACATAATAAAAACGGTTTAATTAACGTTCAAAAAGATATCGTTTTACCTTCTAATTATTATTTTCAACCAATTGAAATCATTAAAACATCTTCACATATTTCACCTATTAGAATACCGGTTAAACAACAAAGAACAAATGTGATCAAAATAGTGTAAGTTAAAATAAAAGAAATAATTTTTAAAAATAAATAAAATAATAATTTAAGTGTAAAAGATTTTACAGCCGGTATTAATCAAGTAAATTAACACTAGAACTAACATTATCTAGGTCTAATGTAGTACTAAAAACTGTAAGTGTAAAATTAGAATTACACTAAACCTAGTATTAGGAAGTTTTGGGTTTAGCTGTGTGTCTATTAGGGTTCTAGGTATAATGTTAGTTCTAGTAACAGCGCTAGTGTAAAACTAACACTAGAACTAGAAAGCTGAAAATGAGAAATCTTTCAATTCTACAATTTCGGGTTTGCACAGTTGTCTGGATCAAAGATGGGTTATAAACCTTAATGATAAATTATATTTAAGTTAATTTTGAATGTTTTTTGTATGAAACATTTTCTCCCATCACATTTAGTTTTTGAGATATACATTTATTTTAATGCTGAAAATGAGTAATCTTGCAATTCTAAGATTTCAGGATTGCTTATTTGTATGTATCAAAGATGGGTTATAATCGGTTATAACAAATTATGTTTTAGTTCATTTAGAATGTTTTTTATATGAAACATTTTCTCCCATCATGTTTAGTTTTTGAGATATGGCCGAAAATGAGAAATCTTTTAATACTACTATTTCGGGTTTGCGCAATTGTCTGGGACAATGATGGGTTACAAACCTTGATGATAAATTATATTTAAGTTAATTTTCAATGTTTTTTGCATGAAAAATTTTCTCCCATCACATTTACTTTTTGAGATATACATTTATTTTAATGCTGAAAATGAGTAATCTTGCAATTCTAAGATTTTAGGTTGGCCGACTGACGACGCACGGCTAATCCCGAAACTTTCTAGTTCTAGGTCTAGTGTTAATTCTAGTTTTAATTCTTATTCAGAGTTAGATTGTTGTAATTTTTGTTGAGCAAGCACTACAACTAACACTAGACCTAGAACTAGAAACATTCAGGTTTAGCTGTGCGTCTCTAAAAACAGCTAAACCGGATTTGACAATACTAGTATTAGTTTTAGTTGTTAATCAAGGCTAGGTTGTTGCAAAATTTTATTGAATTGAATTATTGTTTTAGAGCTCCTAAATTATCAACATCATTTACATCAAATGTAATCTCAGCTTTTGCAAAAGTTTGTGATTCACCATCAACAATAATAGAATGTCAAAGTTTGAGTAAAGAAAAAGAAGAGCAAATCAAAAAACCTTCAGGGAAAAAACGAAAATTACGTAGTGAAAGTTCATTAGAACAAGATCAAAATGTTGTACAAAAAAATGATTTGTCACCATCGAAAATAACCTGTCAAAGAAAAAGTATAAGATTGTTGGGTATGCAACCGGAATTGGAAATTCTTCCGTTTCGGGGTTTTGAAAGTACAATGAAAAATTCCAGCGAAACGAATTTGGCCAAAAATAACGCTGCCAGGATGGAACAAGAACGTAAAGATTTAGAATTTGCGAAACAATTACAAGAGGAATTGGATCAAATGAGATGGTATAGTACAAGGAGTACTATTCCGAGGAATAGCGCTTATTGTAAGAAACAAAGGCAAATTAAATTGGATGAAATTATAAAATGTAGAAGTAAGGTTAAGTAAAAAAAATAAGTTGGTGTTTCTCTATTTTTGCAATTTATTTTTTTTATTTCATTAAATTAGAACTTTCTGTATAGAATTTTTGAATAACCATATGAATATTATTAATTAATTATTAATCGTAAGATCCAAAAAAAAAAAGGTAAGGCAACTCAAAAGGAATTTTGAAAGAATTAAAGGTTACTTTTTTATTAATATTTTTTGTTGATAAAAAATAAGTAAAATAAAAATAACGGGTTGCTAATTAAATGGCACAAAAAGTGTAGGGCTGCAAATTTATTAATTTTTAACCAGCGAAAGCTTATTGTACTGATAGCTGTAATTTTTTCATTAATAATTTTAAATCAAATTGTCTCGAAAATTTTCATTTATTAGTTATTTACAGCTTTTAATACAATAATTGGCCCCATATTTGTTGGTATGTGATAAATGTACAATTGTGATGCAGAGTTTTTATTACATTTATTTAAAGAAAAAAGAAATGAAAAGGACGAAACAATGCCATAACCACTATTCACGATATAAATAATAAAAATTAAAAAAGCGGACATTTCAAATAACCCATTGCAGTTAATATTTTTGTACAGTGCTTCATAATTAATTTTAGTTTATGTATCTTTTTTTTTGTTACGTTTCAAATAAATTATAAAAGAATCCAACCTTGAAAAGAAAAAAAGATAAAACGAGTTCCTTAGCTTTTAAAAAGAAAATCTGATTGATTTAATCCTATAATCTCTCAATCAACTTTTTTCTTCTTCGTTCGTATTTTTTCTAATTCATTATTCCTTCCAAATAATTATTATACATGCAGGTGATTTGTAGAATGATTATTAAACTAAAATTTTAATAAAAGGAGTGTTTCAATCAATTTTAGTTTGGTAATCAGTCTGATTTGAATCACCTTGTATTTGTACCTATATAATAATGTATATTGTACAGAATAGTCGCTAACTACTATCTTTTTTATAATAACTAAGTGGAACAGTATTTTTTTGTAATTCATATTAAGTCTGGATGATTGTGATCTTAAGAATTGTTTGCATATAATAAAAATTTATATTAAAATCAATTAATTCATTTAACATATTTAATCCTCTTCTATTTTTGTATTTATTCAATTATTTGTAGCTGAATCCGGTTTGTTGCAAAGGAAAAGTGACATTGACAAATACAGAAACTAACGTAATTAAATAATTCTTTTTGTCTCATTAACTTAGTCAAGGTTGCTTACAACCGAGGCGCTACAATTGATTCCACATTAATATAAAATTGTATACCAGATCCAAAATAAAGACTGTCTCGCTAGAACTAACACTAAAACTAGAAACATTCGGGTTTAGACGTCTTTAAAGACGTTCGGCTAAACTTGAACCATTCTAGGTCTAGTTTTAGTTCTAGTGATAGTGTTAGATCACTAGAATCGTTCGAGTTTAGCCGTCTTAAAAGACGTTCGGCTAAACCCATACGATTCTAGGTCTAGTATTAGTTCTGGTAATAGTGTTAGTTTTAGTGATGGTGCTAGTGTTAGCTCCAGTCTTGGTGCTAGTGTTAGATCACTAGAACTAGAATCGTTCGCGTTTAGTCGTCTTAAAAGACGTTTGGCTAAACCCGAACGATTCTAGTTCTAAAGTTTCTAATTATATCAATACCAATGCTGTGATGTTGGTTGCATACTTGCAATGATGACGTCGGGTACGATAATTAATTAACACACTATAGAAAGCAAGAGTGGCAATCAACAGACTTGTGCGAGTAAAAATGACAGCAAAAAAAAGATAAAATAACAGCATACAGATGAGAGTAAATCCAATGAAGGAAGAATGTTTAGCCTATTTTAGAAAAAGGATTTTTTTTTTCATTAAACATTTATATATTTATAATAATTAAATAAAAACAAATCAATTTGTTTACATTAAGAATACCAATTCAATCATCAAAAAAAATCATTCACTAAAATCAAAATACTACAATTTTTAAGCAACTATTTATTCCCGTTTAATTATTAGTCCATTTAGTAAATTATCCTGCAGTCTTTGCTTCCGTTTCTTTTACCTAAAATTAGAAATAAAAATTTATTAACTTTTTACCATCAATTAATCAACAATTACACACACAATCAAGCAACAATAAAAGGAATATTGAGTTAGGAAGAAAGGAATTACATAAATTTAGGTTATTATTCATCACAATTAGGATCTTCATCCATGGGATTTAAACAGGTTCCAATGGGACAGTGACAATCATCATGGATAGCGCGCTCATGTAATTCATTCACAACTTCTTCACTATCGATTATTTCAGGAACTTTTTCATCAGTGTCTAAATCAAGGCTAAGAGGTTCTAAATCATCACCACATACCGAACTTTCTTTCTTGTCTCCTATAACTGAAGAATCAGAATTTTTATTAGAACTACTGGAAAATAAGTTCATAAATTCTGAAAAATTTTTTGGAATACTTGGTAAAGATGGCAATGATGGTAATTCTAATGGTGGATCATCTTTTTTAACTACAAATATATTTAAATTTAATTTTTTTTATAACTAAATAAATATTTTTTTAAGTTTACACATCTTACATACCTCCATGATAAAAGTTATATGCAATTCTAAAATATTGAATTGCCTCCTCTTTGATTTGTTCTGAGTATTCAGCAGCTTCAGTTGGATAACAAACCGCTGCCATTCCTAAAGCTCCAATTGTTGTAAAAAGGAGCTTTCTAAATTTTCCACCACGTAAACCAAGAATAAAACCGGCTAAACCACCCACAGCTATAGCACCATATCGAGGTGTTGTGTTATCTTCTTGTTGAAGGTACTCAATCACTCCTAAAAATAATAATTAATAAAATATTTAATTTGTTATGAATATAAATCGTATTTACCTTCACATTCACACCAAGCTTCTTCAACTGCATCAACAGCGTAATCTTGAATTGCTGTTAATTGACTTGACAATGAAACAATTTGTCTTCGAACATTTCCAATTTCTTGTTCTACTTTAGTTGGTGGGTCTCTCATAATTCTTTTGGGTTCTGGGGGTGGTTCACTTGTATAAATGGGTAATTCGCTGGGTTTGCAACATTTCATTTCTTTTCCTTTTTCGGAGACTAAGACAGCTGCAGGTATCAATATTTTACCGACGATCTATTAAAAATATGATTATTAACTTAAAATTGCAAATTTTTATTGTATTTTATTTAGAACTTACCTTTCTCGAAAACATTTTTAAGAGATATTAAGGAATCCTAACCTTAAAATTATGTAAACTTGACAGCTGTCAGGTGAGAATAAACTGCACTCGGTTGGTAACCTTTTTACTATTAAGCCGCGAAAATTTCTGATTTTGAATACACGATAAGTTTCTTCGCCTTATTTTTTATTTTTGTTATCGATTTTTCGCTGTAAAAGACATTTTTTTGCACAGAAAATTGAATGAGTGAATGATGTTCACTTTTTGATGAAAAAAAAAACAAAATACTAAATAAATTAGACATTGATTATTTATTTATTTATATTCATTTTCACGATTGTTTCACCGACATAGACATTTTTATTTTATAATCCCAATTTATGGAAGAAAAAACTTAATGATTTTCACAAACAAAAAAACGTAACAAAACTTGTATAATTGATACCCAAAAACGATAAATAAAATTATTATGCCTTAATTTTTTTTGTCTTTTTTTACTCTTATTGGGAGTCACCTCAACTACAATAACCTGAACATCGTTTTTTAGGATTTAAGCGGCAATCTCTATCCGATGGAGAAGGTTCTTCTTTCTTACAACCATCTTCGGCTTCTGGTTTTGGTGGACAAGCTGATGCTTGGGCTGCTGCTCTTCTTTTACATCGCCTTTCCCGACATGAAGGCCTTTTCTTCTTCTCGCATTTAGGTTTGTCTACTGTCCCATAACAACCTTTTTTGACGGTTTCAATTCGCGCGTAACACGGAATTAGTAATTTCTTGAAGAACTGTAACGATACAGAAACAACAATGTTAATTAATAACAATTTTAGTTATTATTAATTTTGGCGTACTGAAACGTAAGCTATTCCTCCATCAACTAAGATACTTGGTTGAAAATTCGGTGGATCCCCTACTTCCGGTACGCACTTATTTTCACCGAACGCTTTTCCTATAAATTCAAAACCACACCAACACCAGAGACTCATCAGAATTTACTATAAATTTTGCAACCCGATTTACAATAATTTTATCTTTTACATCTTTTAAAAAATTTTCATTTTGACTTTTCAATTTTGTTAGTTTTAATTTTTTTTAGCAGACGCCTCCTATTCCTTTATTTTCATTATATTATAAATTGTGCAAAGGTGGATTTAAAAAATCGTATCACAAGGATTTACAGGAGCGAGGAAATTATTTTTGGTGTGCTAAAAATAGATTAAATTTGCTACAAAATAATTTTTGAATCATCGTGATATCTCAATTCGTTCTTGAGATACGACTTTATAAATTCTACTTTTATCAACTTTACCTCAATAATGGCAAGGTTGTATTAAAAAATCGTATCAACGAGAGTTATAGCTACGAAGAAATCATTTTTGGTGTGCTAAAACTAGATTAAATTTACTACAAAATGGTTTTTAAATCATCTTAATATCTCAATTATTTTTTGAGATATGTTTTTTTCAAATTTAATGTTCATACATCCTGTCATACATCCGGAGGTGAATTAAAAAAAAATCATAACGTCAATATTTATATTAATGGAGAAATGATCTTTTATACAATAAATATCAATTAAATTTGCTTTAATTTGCTTTTTATTTCATAATAATATCTCAATTCGTTCTTGAGATATGAGTTTTTAAATTATACTTTTGTCAACTTAACCTCAATAACGACAAAGTTGTATTAAAAAAATCCTATCACCGAGATTTATTAAATCGAAGAAATAATTTTTGGTGTGCTAAAACTAGATTAAATTTAGTACCAAATGGTTCTTCAGTTATCTTGATTTCTCCATTATTTTTTGAGATATGATTTTTTCAAATTTGATGTTCATACATCTTATCATAAGTAGTGGCGAAGAGGTGAATTAAAAAAAATCATAACGTCAATATTTATTATAATAGAGAAATGATCTTTTACACACTAAATATCAATTAAATTTGCTTTAATTTGTTTTTTATTTCATAATAATATCTCGATTCATTCTTGAGATATGAGTTTTTAAATTATACTTTTGTCAACTTAACCTCAATAACGACAAAGTTGTATTAAAAAAATCGTATCACCGAGATTTATTAAATCGAAGAAATAATTTTTGGTGTGCTAAAACTATATGAAATTTGCTACAAAATGGTATTTAAATTATCTTAACATCTCAATTAGTTTTTAAGACAAGATTTTTTTAAATTACTTATTTATCGAATCATTGTGTAGAAAATAAAGGCTTTAATTAAATAATTTTTTTTTATTAAAAATTAGAAAACATGACAATAAACATTATCTTATTCTTGAGTTGAGTGGATTAACAATTTTTCCAGCCATTAAAGCGACATGAATTTCGGCGTCCATGACGAAATACAAAAACGGATGGTCAGCTTGAAACAGTACCGGCCGAACGCTTTGCAAATTTCCTGTAAAAAAACATAAATAATAGAAAAACGCCCTCATTACATCATTACATCTAGTAAACATAAATATAGGACACGGACGTCGTTTACTCGACAACAACGACGTCGCGTTGTCTTTAACACACAATTTCTTAACGACTATTTTGTAACAAAGTAGAAGAAGTTTTTTTTTACAATTGCAGAGGAGTTACAATTATCAGGAGACAATTAGAAGAGGTACAAAGCGGGACATTAAGGTATCGTTACGAAAAAAAAAGAAAGAAAAAAACAGCAATGGGCTTTTGAATTGTCGTTCTTTTCATTCAAGGTTCATTAAACGAGCAAATTCAAATTAAGGAACCAGTCCCAGTATTGTTTAAACAACAAAAAAAATTGTAAATGTAAAAGGAAGAATGAGATTTTTTTATGGTAATGTAAAATGAAAAAAATGTTCAAGATTGTTATAGATAGGTAATTTCCATTTTAATTAGATCAAGTTTTTTATGCGGGGAATTAATAACAACACTTGTAAGGAATTTTAATTGGTTATATGGAATCATTACTTACGATAATTCGGTAAATTATCGGCGTTGACATAATTCCTAATTGTAACAGTAACAGCTTGTTCAATATTTGTGACATAAACATCTTTTTCGTTGGTCATTAAACTAAAATCGGTTCTTCTTGGTTCAAAAATCCTTTGAATCCCCAACTAAAACATCAATTTTATTTTACAACTCATCAAAAATGAAATCATAAAAATTTACCTTTTGTAAAGAAGGAGTTAAAACAACATATCCCTTTAACATAAAACTTGGGATTATAGCTTTAACATGAGAGTATCTCAACGACATTATGATATCTCTTAAATTCATCGTGTGAGCTAAGTTATGGATTAATTTATCGATTCCAGTTTCATCGACGGGTAAAATTAATAAGAGATAGTATTCTTTACTATCTAAAGGAAAGCTTAAAGCTATCGAATTTAATAATGGCAGAAAAGCTACTGGTAAAACTGCGTCATATTTCATAAAGTTTATATTCGGCTCTCTTATTGTGCCGTAAATTAAAAACGTTGGGTTTTCATCCGGAACGTAAAGATTATTGTTGTTAAAATGGCTAGGTTTGTATTTATTATCATAATGTCTTGCTATTATGTAATCAACAATCGATCTTGAGTTACGTTTTTTAATTTCACTCTCAGAAGCTATTTCAGTTGTAACGTTTTCATCTTCGTTTATATCATTATCTTCAGTTACATTATTATCTTCATTTAAATCATTATCCTCATTATCTTCATTTGAATCATTATCTTCATTTTCATCTAAATCAACAGATTTTTCTGTAGTTGTTACCACATTTAAAGCTTCCGTTGAAATTTGAACGGTTGTAGTTTCAATTTTTGAGGTTATTTCTGATTCAGTTATTGAATTAATTGAAGTACTAATTAATTCTGTACTTGTAATTAATTCGGTAGAACTTGGATTTGATGTAGTAAAAGTTACTTCATCATTAATAATTGAAGGAGAAGTTAAAAGTTTTGATTCATCCACATTTTCATCGATTTTAAATTCAGTTGTTGTAGGAATTGAAGATGTTAATAATTCTGTTGTTAAAGCAGGGATGGTTGAAGTTTTTGGATTTGATGTAGTTTGTTCAACCAAATTAATCATTTCAGTACTTTTTAAATCCGCCGTTGTTTGAGGAATCAAAGTTGAAGTGATCATTTCCGTCGATTTCAACACAGAATCGGTACTTCTCGTTTGAATTCGAGTCGTTTTTTCAGTTGGAACTGAAGACGTTGTTTCGGTTACAATTTCCGTTACCGAATTAACTTTTTCAGTTACCAAAGAAGTTTCGGTAGTTTCAGGTACACTCTCCGTGGATGGTTCAATAACTTGCGTTGTCCCACTTTTCTCTGTCGTGGTTGAAATAGGAGGATCACTATTCATTGTGCTTGTACTAGTTTCGGTAACGTTCATCCTCATTTCAGTGGTCGTTTCAAAAACGTCTGGGTACAAAGGAATGTTGAATGAATCCAAATCGAAACCGTAAAATCTAAGGATCTCTTTATATTCGTCATTTAATTGGACCTTTTCGTTGTTTAATGTTAATCCAGCGAGAAAACCTTCTTTTGGAATGAAATAACTCTGAAATTGAACAAATATATTTTAAATTAATTGGAAAAGACTATTTTTAGAGAAGATATCTATAATATAATTTTTTATCAAAAAGTCAAGATATCTATAATTCCGCTTCTTCAGCATAAGACCTCAACCTAAACTTTGTCTAAAATTTCTTCCAAAATTTTTAAAGCACACCAACACTTCAGAATAAAAGCCAACACAAATTAAACTTTGTCTAAACACTTTTGTTAGCAAATTTCCATGATTTTGTGTAGAAGACTTACAACTAAATCTAATAGGTTGTGATGATAAGCTAATAGATTCTAAATTCCAAGAAGAAGCCTGAAATTACACTGGCCAAATTGTAAATTGCAGGAAATGATGATAAAATAATACCAGTTAACTGGAAAAGGAGACGAAATGATTGTCAAAGAATACCAGTTGATCAACAAGGAAAAACAAATGATTGCTAACGGTTATCAGTTGACTAGTAAAGAATACCAGATGATTAGCAGAGAATCCCAGGTGATAAACAAATAGTGCCAGATCAATACCAGAGAATAATTGATGATTTACGAAAGAATACCAAATGAATGCCTAAGAAGATGAGATGATTAGTAGAGAATCCCAGATGATAATATTATTCGTAATCAGTCTTCATGTACATCGCTATCAAATTGCAAAAATTAACGTAATTATTAACGGATTTCGTTTAATTATCAGCTTATACAGGTTGAAGCATGAGATAGCATCACTAAAATTATCCCGATAGTATATAAAAAGTGAACGTATTGCATTTTAAAGCTGTTAATTCAAGGTCTTCAAACAATAAAGTAATTTGCAATTGTTAAAAAAAAAGCGGTAACATCCTCATCGTCCCAATTTATTCGACAAATTTTGGGCTATCGAAAGTAATAGATAATTAAGCAGGTACCGTTACCGAGTGTGAATTCTATCTATTATGCTGGTAGTAATGATATTACGTAAATAACGACAAAAAAAAATAGATCGAATTAGAAAGTTTTTTTTATTTTAAACATTTTTATGTAAATTTTTCAGCAATATATTTCAATAATTTCTTTAAATTTTTTTATTTACCTTTAAATGTCGGTGGATGTCACGCAATCCTACACGAATAACCGATACATCTTGAGGAATGCGGGCTGCTTCTTGAATTTCTTGTACAGCATATCCTCGAAGACCTTCACCAAGGGCAATAAGAACACTTGTGGCTCCATAAGGAGACAAAGCGATGTTGTTGTTATTATTTTCGTTGTGTGCCTTTAAAAAAGTTATTAAAAATTAATAACTCGAAAAATTTGTTGAAATAAAGAAGCAAAACAAGTTTCTTGGGGCGATACGTTTGGACAAAGGAAATTATTTAAATGAGTTGATGATGATATCACATCCTTCTCTTAAGACAAACCAAGCATGCGAAGATGGATTTGGATAATTGGATTAATTTCTCATGTGAAAAATGAAAGAAAAAAAGTGATGCTATTGTGCTGGTTAATTTATTCGAATCAGAATGGAAAATTATCCTTGAATTAGGGAAAAACGGATTCAAAAAAAACGATTTACTCTGATTCAATCTAATTGCAGATCACGTCAATTTTTCGTTGTTAATGAGGGATTTATGTTTTGTACGCAATAAACAAGGTCGAAATTATTGCAAAACTACATTTTTTTAATACATACTCATTTACATCTTCCTCCCATCAAAACAATATTATGCTCAAAATGATTTAATAAATACATTTTATTTCTACTTACTTCTAAGAGGGCTACTCCAAAATTATTAATAACATCAACCATTACGTCTTGTGGTAGAGCTTTTTCATAATAATATCCATTTGAATAATCATCGTAATGGCACGAAACTTTGCTCAAAACCATTAATAATAACGCAATTAAATAAAAACCGCACATGTTTAACGATTCATTGAGATAGGTTGCGGAGAGAGGACGTAAATAATCGCATCCTCTCTTCAAAAAAGAGTGCGAACCGCCGTTGGTTCTTCAGCAAATTTATACGTAAAGATATTCCCGCTGAATTACATTAAATCATATAGGCAACCCAATATACCAAAATTATTTTATTATTTTAATCTAAAAGAAAATACGTGATATAATTAAAAATTATAAAAATTAAATTTATTAAAAAAAATTATCGATTATAAATTGCAATAACGAAATCGTTAATTAAAAATTAAATTAATTTTTTTAATTTTTAAGATGACGCAACCCAAATGACACTTAATAGATGTGTTATTTTATTGATTTTAAACATAAGTAAACGCTTAATGAGAAAGTAAAAATACGATAATTTGATTTGAACTCATAAAATTGATTATTTAGAAGGCTGTTGTTGATTGGTGCGAATTTTTTTGCATAAATAAAAAATGTTTAAAAACGTGGTGCGCAAATATGGCGATCGGTTTTGATATGCGCGCGCACGTAAAATGGCGATAGGTTTGTTAATAAATCGCTGTCAGTTTTAAATCTTACGATATCAACCTGTATAAATGGCGTAAATAGTAAATCGTGTATTAATTGTAAATTGTAAATAGTCTACTGTATAGTTAGTGGTAATATTTTGTGTTTTCGCGAATGTTACGGTCGGTGGTGGAAAATTATAAATATAAGTGATCCGAGAGTATCTTGTGTTTGTATTGTGTGCGAGAGGGGAATCGTTTAGCGGAGCCGACGCCGAACGTACGGTAGACGCGGATTTCGGCGTTAATACGTTCCGTTGATGAAAAAGGATCAACGAAAATAAGTACAGGTAAGCGTAGTTATCTAAGGGACAACGCCCCGATTGATTTTCAATCGAATTTTCGTTAGTTTTCTTTGTGTACTCGTGAACTGTCAAAAACCCCCCTATAGCAGCCATTTGTTTTCGTACCGGGATTTCAAATGTCATTCAATAAACAGTTTTTGATGTTTTCGGCTTAAATCACGTTCTCAAAAGACTTAATTCGTTCTCTATTAATATCTTCACATAAACCCCTATCGATCGTACTTAATGTAATCGCGCCCGCCTTAAAAACAATCGTGGTCATTTGCATTTATTCTACTATGCTAATATCTAACCTAGAAGGTTTGGGCATATTCGATATCGATTTTGTTAATTCTTATTACCGCTTGTAATGACGTTAAAAATACGTGAGTTTATTGTTTACATTTTGGGGTTTTTCATAAATCTTTTATGTTATCGTTTGGATTAAATAATTTTTTTTTTTTAATTTTTAGAGACACAAATGAAGTGGTTGGGTGGCGGTGATGGCAGCGTGGTGAGCGTTGACATGGATAGGGAGCCGCAGCGCACCCAGGATGATGCCGCAGTAGGATATGAATTTCAACGACCCCCAGATCCCGAGTTTCCAGCATTTGGACAAAAACAAGCTCGATGGGCTCTTGGAGATGACAGTATTATTGAGGTTAGAAATAATCTTATTAAAGAACTTGTATATTGTTGATTTTAAATTTTTAGTATAACATTATCTACTGGTTCCTTAGATCATTCAATAAAGAATCTGGAAATTATGAGCAATAGGAAGTTTAAATTTTTTTAATAACACTTTATCAAAGGAACAAAAATGGTTTTCTGGGTAAAGGTTAAGGTGTTGTAAACATGTTTATCTATGTGAACTATTAATCATGAAATAATCTAAGGAACCAGCTGGAAATTTTTGTACCTACTTTTTACTCTCGGTATAACCACGATATGGAAATAATTAAATTACATTTATTTTTGTTATCTTGAATGTTTTACAAATTGATAAATGTTAACTAAGAAATGTATACTTGCATACAATATCTCAATACCTATTAGAATCTTGAACTTTTTTTTGGGTTTCCAATTTCACATAAGAATCCAAATCAGGTTTTACATCATCTTGGTATCCTAGAACAGCAATTAAGTACTCAAATAAGACACCAGATATGCTGAAATACTATCAGAAAAGCGCCAGTTATGTATGGAAATTTAGTTTCCTCTTCCACACCTTCCTCACAATGTCTAAGATTGGTGTTATCTTCATATAATTCAGTTGATCAATATCAGACAAGATACATAAACAAGGAATACTTGAACAAAACATTTTGCAACTTTTATATCACTGATATTTATTTTTATTATCTTGAATGTTTTAGAAATTGATAGATGTTAACTAAAAAAATGTAATCTTGCATACAATATCCCAATACCTATTAAAGTCGAGTTTTTTTTTGGGTTTGCAATTTCACATAACGATCCAAATCAGGTTTTACATAATCTTGGATACATTTAGTATCCTAGAACAGCAATTAAGTACTCAAATAAGACAACAGAGACTGGAATACCGTCAGACAAACGCCAGTTATGTATGGAAAGTTATCATCCAATTCCATCCATCATAATGCCTAAGATTGGTGTTATCTTCATATGATACAGTTGACCAATATCAGGCAAGAAACATAAGGAACAAGATGGTTATCTATATTAGAACAAAACGTTTTGCAACTTTGATGTCACCAATACTTAGTGTATCGTTTTTGAATGTCCTTTCTAAAGGTTCAATCTGTATAGACACATTTAAAATAATTGTTTATTCTTATAATGAAGACTAATCCATAAAGACACAACTTAATATAACTTATAGTAATGAGTCCACTATTTAAATAATTGTTTCCTCTCTAACTATCTACAATACATAATAAATTTAGCGACAATGGGCATATTAGAAAGTTTTTAACAAGTTATTTTATGATAAAAAATTATTTAGTTACTCTTAGAAAGTGAAAAAGGATGAAAACCTAATATTAATCTGTTTCAACAACAACTAAAGTTATGGTTTCAGCAAAAAATTGTTTAAAAATATCTCTACCATTCTAAGAATCGTAATTTGCACAGCTGCTACTAATTACGTTGGACATTTTTATCTGTTGCGATAAGACTAATAAAAAACTTGCATATTGCTTATATTTGTATTTACAAAAAAGAGGTTAATAGGTGAGGTTAATTAAGTAATGTTGTTTTGTTAATAAAATATTAATTTTTCCATGACTCTTAATAAATTGGATGTTTGTTTACATTTTTGATATTTTCTTTTAAACATGCTGATTATAAAAGAAATACTTCAACTTCCTTTTTCTTAGATTAACATGACTCAGTGACAAGCAGTTAAAAAAATCGAATCAAGTAATTACATTATCCCAGGACATAAAAATAGGTTTTCCGAATGGGAATAAACCGTTACACGATTAATGTTACCCAAAATTCTAAAATAAAAACCGTTTCTGTGTAAATAACATTTATTATTCATTTAAATGTATTTCCTCAAGGCTAAACAAAGAATGGTTTCATTTAAAAAAATATTGCGTCGGCGTTACTTAAAAGTAAAGAATCTCTTAAGTGATTGTTTATTTTCTTTTCTTGCAGAGTTACGATAAGTGGAAGTACCCTGTTAATAGCAAAATGGCAACGCCCCCGACCATGTCATATTTAGCTCCTAATCCCAATATGGGACCATATGATATGAGCCAGAGTAAAAATCTCGGCCCCGATCAACAACAAGTTATGTATTTATCGAATCACTTAGCTGGTCATATGGCCGGAAATCTTCCTATGCATCCCCAGTATATGACGCAGAATATGCAAACTCAAATTGTTCGACAAGGATCTCAGGTAAGTGTCTATAAAAAGTTTTTAATTTAAAAAAAATTTTTTTTGTAATGGTATATTTTGGCAGTTAAATTGTTTGATATAAGTACGAAGGTTTTCATGGCTGGTGTTAATTGAACTAAAAGTAAAACTGAAACTACAGCCAACACTAGTACTAACACTAGACATAGAACTGGAAACGTTTGGGTTTAGCCGTACGTCTCTCAAGACGGCTATAGTTCTAGTAACAGTGCTAGTGTAAAACTAGAATTAACACTAGACTTAGAACTAGAAATATTTGGGTTTTGCGTCTTCAAGACGCACGGCACTAAACCCGAAACTTTCTAGTTCTAGGTCTAGTGTTAGTTCTAGTTTTAGTTTAATAAAACTATATATCAATCTGGTGCTGAATAACAATTAGAACCAACACTAGAACTAACATTAGACCTAGAACTAAAAATATTCAGGTTTAGCCGAACGTCTCTCAAGACGGCTAAATCCAAATGTTTCTAGTATTAGTTCTAGTTTTGGTTCAATTTGATAATTTCGCTTTGGGTTGCTAATGTGTTTTGAATTGCATTTTAGGTGTGATTTCTTTATTAACACCCACTAAAAAAACTGATGACATAATTCTTGAAATAATTTATAAATAACGTTTAAACATTAAAAGCACGCAGAGAGTGAGAGAAAGCGATTTTCTGATCTTTCGTAAGTATCGGCCCATTTTTGGCTAACTAAAGAGGTTACCGAGCCAAGGTGCAAGGCCGGTGCTTCGAGTTCTACTCGACGACTTCGTTTCGCGATCGCGAGAAATCTGTTTTTACTGCTATTTATCGAATAAGTTACCAATTTAACCGTTAACCTTGGTTTTGTCATTTTGAAAACCGCGTTTGCGGGAGAAGTTTTGGGGAAGGATCGATTTCATTCCTTGAATATTTATTTCAAATTTGACCGTGAAGTAGTGTTGTATAATTCAATCGAAATTGTTAAATTTTTCGTATTGAAATGAAATGAAACATTGGGGATCGTTAACCTCCGTGACAAGTTTTTTTTTCTGTTTAGACGAAAATATTTCCTTATTACCGAAGGTTATTATTATAAATTAACCTTGGACTTTTATGATTTCTACATACAAGTTGATTGTGTAAATGAACCGTATAGTAACAGGAATATTGATTGAAATATCGAGACCTTAATTTAACCCGATATCTAAATGGCTACTTAATAATTAATGTTATTGATGATTTGTTAACTTGGAGTTTTTTTACTTAATTAATCCTCCTAAACGAGCTCTTAAAATGTTGGTTAACATTTTGAAAAGCCACAAGAACACTGCGGTGTAATTACCTATCCAATTTTTGATCGTTTAGATTTATTACTATACCGTAATTTCTAACTCGATATATTTCCCAACATGTAATAACACTTATCGTGTTTAATTGGTCTACGATGCTTGGTTGACTTACACAAATGTTTCGGATAAGAGAATAAGAGTTATACCAGAGGGAAATCTCGTAAACCTGGCGCAGTAATTTTCTTGAGCTTCATCGACGTGATCATTACGACTTATGCAGCTTAATTCGCTAATTTATTCATGTTTGAAGTTGTTAACTTATTCATGTGAAGGCTGGTGGAAACTGGTGGTGTCACGCTGGAGAAACTTTTTGATGTCGAGGCCGATTACAAAGGAAATTATTTTAATAAAAATAAGTTTTATTAAAAAAAAGAACTATTAAAATTTACTTTCTCTGATTATCTTCGTTTACATCTAAAATTTCAAATTCAACTCAGGCTTTTATTCCCTAACAACTTTAACGTTTGTTTATTCTCATTTTACGTTAGTACCAGGTTTCTTCTTAATGAGGTGAGTGCGAAAACTGTGTTGAAAAGACGTTTAAATACGTTTCCGCCTTAAAATATATTGAGGCATACTAAAAGGGCACATATTTTATCTTATGGCCTATATTTCCATTAAAAAGCTGTGACCCACCCTTTTCCGTAATTAGATTGAAGTTCCGTAAACGGCAGATGTGCGTTGCTGGTAAGAACATCGCTCAACTAATTTGAAAGTAATTGACACTTGGTTGCACAGAGAAAGTCTTTTGTGCTGTGAGTTAATTGAGTTTTTTCGTTTTATTCTCTCTTTTAAAGTTGGAATGAAATCACATCCAATTTTATAACGTTGCGAAATAAACTTTGATAAAATATGGATGTCGACAACCGACCCTCAACATTCTAAAAATTAACAAATCTTTAAAATTGGATCTCACCTTGACTACTTCCGATGACGGCGCCGTTTAAAATTTAAATCTCACTCCTATGACCCTGAGAATCTCTTTCAGTAAAATGTTTCATTAAGTTATAAAGTGTACCATGACGGTTACCATAACGAGTTTTATATCCCATATCGTATAAGTGGCGAAACGAAGATTGAAAACTTTCTTTTTTCTCCAATCTTCTATTGACTCTAAACACCTGCTATCAAAATGTAATCTAATCGATAATGTATATTGGTGGTTATATAACAGCTTGTAATTATCACGTCTGTAAAGTTGGTACTAAATTTTTTTTTAGTTTTTATTGTATTCTTTGATGCTGAATATTTTGGTATGGTATGTTCCATAAAGGTTTTTCAAGGTATTGATCTTCAGTTTTCAGGTTAGTTCATCCAAAACACATTTCAAGACTTTTTACCAGGAATAAACTCGTTCACTACCTTACCAAGGTTGCGTGGATAAAATGAGGAAAGATTGGTACCAACTTGTTGACTAGTTCAGGAGCCCTAGTATCAGCAAGCCACAGTAATATTAGGCGCTGCATCCTAAATTGAGCCTTGGTTTCCTTCTTGGCTTCGCAACTATGTACTTTAACAGAGAGCAACAGATAGTTAATCTATTGCCCGATCCTCAACCTGAAGAACCAGTTTTAAAGTGCTGGAAACTTGCTTTCAGCCTCCTCCGTTGGTTGAATTACTATCATTCTGGTGTGAGCACTACATAGCCTGGGGTACACGAACGAGGATGTGGAGGCAGGATTTGTGGATGCGTCTTGAGTAGAGAAGGAGATGAGCTTCGTTTCTGAACATTGACTTTTAGCCCTGCTGCTTTTGATGCATGTTGCAGTTTTCTCAACTTTATCTCTATATCACAAAACTTTGGGAAAGTAAGCAAATGTCGTTTGCAAACTCAAGATTGTCAAGTCTATCTTGCATAAAATGTTCTTCTTCCTTCTGTAACGTTTCTCATGGCTCAATCCAATACCAGGAGGAACAGTATGTGTGACATGATACACCTTTGTCTCATCCCAGAATTTACGTAGACAAACACATTGATATATTAGATTAAAATTTCAAGTATTAAGAACAGTAATTGATGAAATGTTTTTCATTCCATTAGTTGCTGCAGTGCATGCATTTGAATGCAAAACTCACGTTTGTGTTTCTTAGAATCTCGGAATTAATGAATCAGTTGTATCCGCTTTGGTTTGCAAATATTGGCAATCTCTTCGTGGCATAAAAAATACGTGAAAGTTTGAGTGTAGGCCTCTTCAATTAATTTCTTTATGTTCTTCTATGTAGATTTTAATTAATTTGATTTCGGTATGTTGAGATTTTTTGTTATATTTTTATTGGTTAACACAAACATCAAGTTGTTTTAATATTTACTTCAATTGAAAGTTTAATTTATCGAACCAGTTTGATTGAAACGGTTCTCGTTTTCTTCTTCGATAACAACCCACCCAATTCTAACACAACCGTTGGAAAAAAAATCGTCGTCTGGGTGCCTCGACGTGGGGCTCTCCGCGTCCGCCGCCCGCCCGTTCCGTCCGTCCGTTCGGGGCCCCGTCTGCGGCGCGGCGCGTGCGCACGTTGCTCCCGGTCCTTTGTTTGGTCCCTCTTTCAGTTCGACGCCGAATGCCGCACCTACTGACATGCAAGTAGTCGTCTCGTTCGCGGTTTCTTCGCCGGCCGGCTTCTATCGTCGTAGTTGAACTCTGTAGTTGTTTTGTGGTGTGCGCCGCGTAAGCGAGTTCTTTTTGTCATCCCCGTCGTCGGTGTCCTCGCCGTCCTGGTGTCCCGTTGGTATGGTCCCGACTCCGCCCGGGATATGAGAGACATGGGACCCGACATGGTAAATATTTAGATATTCTCTCCACCATTTCTGTTATCCCCCTAAAACGTAGTGTGATGCGCGTGTCGAGTTAACTTTGTTTGGTACGCCTCCTTACCGGCGTTTTTGTACAACCCCTAATCTATCTTATGGGGGGTGTGTTCAAGTCATTTTCAAAAAAAAAATCGTCTAGGTGACTCTATAATCTTGTTAATAATACTTGTGGTATATGTATTCAATTGTTATTGTAAAGCTCTGATAAAACAAAAAAATATATTAAGCAACAGGTTTTTTGTATCAGTCTTAATTTTGAATCTTCGGAAGAAAGATGGATTGAAGAAGTATAAAAATAAAAGAAAATAGTTGTTGATCAGTGGCTTTGTTTGAATCCCAGGTAGCTGGGTTGGGAATAGTGCAGAGTAGAGAGCAACAGCAGCCATGTTCGGCGGTTCTCAGTTCCTCTCAAGGTAGGCCAGGGTGCATGGCCTGTCTTGTTTACGTATGCAGCGTAGAGAGCCGGTCGGCGGTTTGTTGTGTGGTGTATAGGCGGGTGGTCAACCGTACTTGCATCCAGCTTCACAAGCTGGTCTGCTTCGAACCGCTTCGTTGGTGCGGTGGTGCGCGCTAGAGCTTGCCGCTGACGCAACGTTGCCACGTTTCTCCGAGCTCGTCGTCGGCGCCGTTTGCCATTGTTTATGTCCGGTTGCTAGGAGGGTTGGTACTCTGGGTGTCTCTCTATTTCCCTCATCCAGGGTATATTCTCGGTGATAAAAATGTCCGTATCAAGTCTGAGATTACTTACTTTAACGGTTAACGTTAAGATACGTGGTTGTTTTTGTTTTGATTACTGATTCTGGGAGATTTAAAAAACATTATACTCCAGTTACCTTGAATTTGAACTTTAACTATAATTAA